ATGATTTTATTGAATAACAAAATAAAATCAAATTACACCACTTGACTTGTTTATATAAATTAACTATATATAAATTAACTAATAGTTCATGAAAGTAGTGTAAATCTGTTACAGTTAGTTACAAGCTGTTGAGGTGTCACTTTGTTTAGTTGATCACATGTGTTCTATGTGCAGGTGAGCTTAGGCGAGCTCTTGGATGCTGAGTAGTGAAGATCTGTTGTATGAAGTGCACTGTGATGTGGTGAATCAGCAACAGTACTGTTAGCATCCCCCCTCAAGCTAATGGGAGAAAAAACCATCAGTTTGGCAACAAGAAGAGTAAACCGATCAGTAAGAAGACCCTTAGTGAACAGATCTGCCAGCAGATCTGAGGAAGCACCATGCTGGATAGTGAGTTGTTGTCGAGTTACTTGGTCTCGAACAAAATGATAATCGACCTCAATATGCTTTGTTCAAGCATGAAAAACTAGATTGGAAGTAAGAGCTATTGCAAAAACATTATCACACCAAATGTGAGGCATCACAGGAAGAGAAACATGAAGATCATGAAGAAACATTCACATCTAAGCAAGCTCAACAGAAGTAGTGGTTGTAGCTTCAGACGATGATCTAGATATAATATTATATTTCTTAGTTCCCCAATAAATAGGGTTATAACCTAGAAATATAACAAATCCAGTAGTTGATCTACGATCACTAGGATCCTCTACCCCAATCCGAATCTGAATATGCTGTCAGTGTGATACAACCAGGAACAAAATGAAGACCACACAAATGAGTCCTNATGCCATGACATAAATATATGATCAGAAACATGATCAAAGCAAAGGTAGCCCTTGCAATCCTGAGCATAGCCTATAAACACACAATGCTTGGTTTGAGGCTGTAGTTTATTGGTATTATATGGTTTCAAATAAGGATAGCAAACACATCCAAAGATTTTCATCTGAGTGTAATTAGGGACTGTAGCAAAAAGAATTTGGTAAGGGGAAGTGTTGGATGCNTGTTGTCGAGTTACTTGGTCTCGAACAAAATGATAATCGACCTCAATATGCTTTGTTCAAGCATGAAAAACTAGATTGGAAGTAAGAGCTATTGCAAAAACATTATCACACCAAATGTGAGGCATCACAGGAAGAGAAACATGAAGATCATGAAGAAACATTCACATCTAAGCAAGCTCAACAGAAGTAGTGGTTGTAGCTTCAGACGATGATCTAGATATAATATTATATTTCTTAGTTCCCCAATAAATAGGGTTATAACCTAGAAATATAACAAATCCAGTAGTTGATCTACGATCACTAGGATCCTCTACCCCAATCTGAATCTAAATATGCTGTCAGTGTGATACAACCAGGAACAAAATGAAGACCACACAAATGAGTCCCTTTGAGATATCTAAGGATGTGCTTGACAGTAATAAGATGACTAGTTGTAGGAGAATGCATAAACTGTCATACATGATTCAATGCAAAGGTAATATCAGGCCTAGTAGATGTCAAATATTGTAATGCCCCAACTACACTGCGATACATGGTCAGATTTGTCAATGGTGTACCCTCATATTTGCTTAGTCAAAGAGGAGAACAAGGAGAGGAACAAGACTTATAATCAAACATTTGAGCTTTAAGGAGAACATCCTTAAGATATTTAGTTTGAGACAGAAATAAGCCATATGAAGTAGAAGAAATTTGAATACCCAAGAAATAGGGAAGAGGACCTAGATCTTTCATTTCAAAAGTGGATGAAAGATCATAAATAAGATAAGAGATAAAGATTGAGTTATTGCCTGCGAGAATTACGTCATCAACATATGAAAGAAGTATGGTAATGGTGGAATTAGCAGCACTAACAAAGACAGAAAATTTTGCAAAAGAAGAGTGAAAACCATAGGAGAGAAGATGAAAAGTAAAACGTTCCAATCAGGCTCTAGGAGCTTGTTTTAAACCATACAAGGACTTGTTTAACTTATAAACAAAGGTAGGTGAAGAGGAATCAATGAAACTAGGAGGTTGAGTTATATAGACTTCCTCCTTAAGAGTGCCATGAACAAAAGCATTCTTGACATCTAGTTGCCTAAGAGGCCACTGAAATTGGATAGCCAAGGAAAGTAGTAGCTTAACTAATGCATGTTTCACCATTGGACTAAAAGTCTCATATAGTCCAGACTAGATTCTTGGTGAAAACCCTTGGCTACTGATCTAGCTTTATGACGATATATGGTGCCATTTGGATTGTATTTGAGTTTGAAGACCCACTTACAAACAATGATATTCTTATGAGAAGGGGCTGGAACCAAAGTCTAGGTACATTACTGTTGTAAAGTTTGAAACTCCTTTGTCATGGCTGCACACTATTCTGGATACTTAGAAGCAACTAAAAAGGTGGATAGTTCAAAATGCTCAGAGGAAGAAGTGTGAGCTAAGTAGGTTTTAGTTTTAGGTTTGTATTTACCAGATTTAGATCTAGTAGTCATGGGATGCCATTAATAGTGGATGTTACTGGTAAAGGTGGAGAAGAATGGGAAAACAACTGATGAACAGGTGCAGATGGAGTACCAGGAACTAGATTAGAAGTAGGTGATGATGGAGAGGAATAAAGAAAAGGCTGCAAAACAAAAGCTATTGCTAAGGAGTTGTAATGCTAAGATGGGGAAGATGGGGTTCCAAGAATGGAGGATTGTGAGTGAACTAAAGGAGAATGAGAATATGAGGATATAATGTTGGACTGTTGCAAATCAGCAAAAGGAAAAATGGTTTCATAAAAAATGGCATGCCATGACATAAATATATGATCAGAAACATGATCAAAGCAAAGGTAGCCCTTGCAATCCTGAGCATAGCCTATAAACACACAATGCTTGGTTTGAGGCTGTAGTTTATTGGTATTAAATGGTTTCAAATAAGGATAGCAAACACATCCAAAGATTTTCATCTGAGTGTAATTAGGGACTGTAGCAATAAGAATTTGGTAAGGGGAAGTGTTGGATGCGGTTGGACTTGACAATCGATTAATGAGAAAAGTTGTTGTACAAAAAGCATGAAACCCAAACTTTGTGGGGAGTGAGGCTCTTGAGAGAAGGGTAAGGGCTGTTTCAACTATATGTTTGTGTTTTCTCTCAACAAACTCATTTTGCAGAGGAGTATGAGGACATGACTTTTGATGATTGATCCCATATTTTTTGGATATTTATATCACTTTTTGTAGAGTTTACAAATTTTTGGAGGGCTTCACTTAGTCTTAGGGCTGATAATTGAATAGAGTTACTCGAGTTTGAATAGTTTTTTAGATTCATTTGGAAAACGAGTCTAAAAAAACTCGGTTTAAGTTTACAAAATTTAGTTCATTTATATGTAAAATAAACGAGTTATTCGGACTCGACATGTTTTAAGCTTAGCTCATATTTAACTTATTTTCTAAACGAATTAAATTTGAACTTTTTTTTAGACACATTTAAGAAAATGAGCTCGACAAACTTAACTCGATTATTAGCTCTATGAGTCAACCCAATTTTTTATGAAACTTATCATTTTTAGGGGAAAAAATTATTATGTTTTGTTTTCTTTTGTAGAACTTGATATATTACGGAAAAATATAAAATTGGTACCATAGTATTTTCCTAAGAAAAATTAAAACCAATTAAAAACATATTATGACACACGTTTCTTCTCAACTCATGTTTTTTAAAAACACTTTTTAATTGAAAAAATGATAAAGTGATGTACAAGTTCTTATTCCAAGCACTCTTAAAGTTTTGCCACCTCATTTTTGGAATCAATGGGCCCATCTAGGTTTTTTTTCGGTAGGTGAAAAAAAATAAACCTTGCAGGGGCCCATCCAGTTTGCCAATACCATTATTGCCCTTGTAATTTTTATTATTAGTTTAGAAAATTAGTTAATTTGTCCCTTTCAAATATTAATACTAAGATTTTCCTCTTCTGACTTGAGTTCCTAATTTGGACTTTTTGATTTGGCTCCGATACGTGAAGTTTGATGTTTTTTTTTCTCTTTTTTTAAATTATTGATTTTTTATAGGAGGTTATATGCAACTTATAAATACCCCACAATTCAAATCAAATTAATTAGATATGAATTTGTTTTTTTATTGACGATCTAAATCTAAAACTAAATTCAATACATTATATTTTGTTAATTTAAATTTGAATATACTAATATTTAATCTAATTGTAATCTGATATAAATTATAATAATACGAGGCAAAATTAAGTAAATATTAGATAAACTATATTGAAATTTACATTTAGACTTTTAAAAATCCCCTCAAATTAGGTTTTTGGGATCAAGTTGAAATTTCTAATCGAACTTTTTGGTTTGTAACAACTTTTAATATAAATTATAAAAACAAGATTTATGAAAATTTTCCAATTGAATCCGACTGAGCCAAAATTCAATTATTCAATAAGATCTCATATATATTTTTTTAAAGAAACAATAGAGATTTGATTAATTGCTAAGATCTGACTAGGGGAGGGACACAATGATATCTGGTATGGTATCTCGTCTTTCCATTCAAGTCTCCTTTGGACTATAGAGACAAATATTATTAACCTATGTATTACCTTATTTCCTGATTGGTCTTACTATTGATGCCTCTATAGAATGAAAATTATATAGACTAGATCTAATGTCCACAAGAATAGAGCCTAGGGGATCTAATGTCGGTAAGATCTCACTTATTGGCTACGTTAGTCGGGTGAATTTGCAGCAAACGATGAGAGACTTGTAAACCGAAAAGGGCCCCTCAATTTTCAGATATTTATATATAAGCACATGATCCGCCACGGGGAGTGTGAAACTACAAACTCAATATTCTTTCATTACTACCCCGAATAAACAAAAGAATATAAATAGTTACCCATTATATTTTATGCTTTCTTGTTATAGACTTGTATGATTACCTTATTGTCCACCGCCAAACTTTTTCATCAAAATCGAATATACATAATATATATATATATCGATCTCATACTCAAGCTGATTACATCATGAATTTCAATGATCTGTTGCTCCCATAGGTGACCCCCCTCTCTCTCTCTCTCGCTTGCTCTCTAAATGTATGAATGCAATATGTACTATTTCAGTATGAAAAAGTAGCAGATCTAGGGTCTGGAATCCTGAATTTGTTTAAAGCAGCTTTTTCATTGTATAATCACATCTTATTCATTCGCTCGTTTTTTTTTTTTAGTTTTGAATAGTTGAGCTGGTTCGCATCGTGATTTTGTTAATCTTGGATAAACTATCGGAATGAGGTATGGATTTGCATAATTTTATGACTTTATAGCGAATTCAATTCTTGATTTGATGGAGATGTAGTTTGTGATGAGTAGAATTTGAGATCGAGATCGAAGGAGGGAGTGGCAAAAGAAGAGAGTGAAGATGAGTGAAGGCCAGCGGTTTCAGCTGGGAACAATTGGAGCATTGTCTTTGTCTGTGGTTTCCTCGGTGTCCATTGTGATTTGTAACAAGGCACTTATTAGTACTCTTGGTTTTACCTTTGGTGAGTCATCCATTTCTTAACTGATATGCTTGATATTAATCTCATGATTGTATATTTTTCATCTTGTTTTCTTGTAGTTCATTTACTGTGATTCTTTGTTGTTTCTGTTATTTCTTACAACTTCACATAAGATTTGTGCCAATCCAATTGTCCATGTTTTCTGTGTTTCTATTTCTTTTTTGTTGAAGTGACTGACATATTTGTGGCCTTTCATCTCACGTTTTTACTTTCTATTTTGTTGCACAATCCAGTGTCTTATTGTGAAAACCTGGCACATTATGAATGTTCTTGAGAAGAAGTAAGAAATAATTTGCTCTTTGCCCCTTTGGAGTGGCTGGACCCCTTATTGGTGTCATTAGGCACATAGGTCGGAAAAATAAGTCCAATAAGCACTCTCTTGCATGTGGTTAATTTCATTAACTTTCTCAGATCCATATGCAGAGAATACCATACCCTTGCTGTCATTTATTGATCACATGCAACGTTATGGTAAACAATTGCCATTTCTCAAAATGGACAGGGGCTGCCAGAGAGAGGCAAATCCAAAACCTATGCACATATGTTTAGCACATTTGATTTTCTTATATTAAACATCAATTTCTATGTCAGTACGAGTATTCATATGGTTGTGAGCTAACCATAAATAGTAAAATTATGATGGCAATTTTTACCATTTACCAAGTTTCTTGAGAAAAAAAGCATTACACTCGTGGGACTTTTGTACTTCATTTAGGATAATAAAGGCACATTTTTATTGTTGTCAAACTTTGGCTAATGAGTCAACCCATAGGTCACACTCACAAGTGCCCAACATACCAACTGTTAATCGGGAGAGGTGTATTACATGTCATAGGCTTGATATCCAGTAGTCACCACCTTTTTTCATGCGAGATTTACATTGTATACATGTCCCCAAAAATGTTGAAACAAAGTTTTGTAGAGTTGAGTTGAATATTTACATTGTAGACATATGCATTGTTTTACAAGTGATCATACTTTGGCTAGTGAGTGAACACATGGGTCACACTCCCAAGTCACAAGTGTCAGACATGCCAATTGTTAACCAGGAGAGTACTACTACATGCCATAGGCTTGATATCCATTAGTCACCACCCTTTTTCATGCAAGATTTACATTGAATACATATTGCTAATGTTAGAAGATAGTATGATCATCGGCCATTGATTTAGGTGTACAAATGTGAAAGATACTTTTAGTGAAGTGAAAAAATCTGTTGATTCCGGTATATACTCACAGATATATTATTTAATATAAAACGGATCTGTTGACCTGGTCTACAAATCAAAACTGCAGTTGGTTTCTAAACTCTCTTTCACTTATTTCCCCTCGCCTGACCATTAAATATTTGCAATATTGTTCTATATCTTTTTTGTTTATCTTGAAGTGAGGATCCAACAAAAAGTATAAGGTCAGAGGTAAAAAAGTAGCCTTCAAAGTAAAGGTAGCCTAAATGTGGTGGCTAAAAGTGAAATCATTGGTAACCACCTGTGATTAGAACTGTTTTGTAGCTTTTTCACCTCCCATCCTACAATCAATAAGTTGTTGAGGAATAACTTGAAGACAAGGGATGCAGGAAGCAGGAATGTCTATATTTCATCCACATTCCTTTTTCTGGTGGATGAAATCCTTTGTGTACTGAATGTTATCTGCCCTAGTTATAAATCTGGGTATCTTAAGTGTTTGGAGATATTGAATTTAGGCTGATTTATTTCTATGCCATTGAGTACAGCCTTTATTTTGCATTTTTTAAAATTTGTAGAATTTGAAAATTTCCCACCCATAGATTTTATTTATTGTTGTTGCTTTTAAAGCATAGGACCTGGAAGACATGCTATTGCAATATTTCCAACCTCTTTATATTTCATAAAATTTTAGGTTCTAACTTATTCTTGATGCTCAGCTACAACTTTGACAAGTTGGCATCTTCTTGTCACGTTTTGTTCTCTTCATGTGGCATTATGGATGAAATGGTTTGAGCACAAGCCGTTTGATTCAAGAGCTGTCATGGGCTTTGGGATACTTAACGGGGCCTCAATTGGACTTCTGAATCTTAGCCTGGGTTTTAACTCTGTTGGTTTCTACCAGGTACAACTTTTTAGTTCCTTCCTACTGTGAGTCTTGACTATTTTACGGCATTTACAATGGGATGGCTCTGTTATTGCTATTTATTTCCTTTGCAAACCTTATTTTCCGGTAGACCAGAAAATTCTAATAAGTGTTTCTGCAATTTTAAAAATGTTGTTTAAAAGAGAAATTTGAAACTATGAAACTAATGATTTCTCAAAAAAAATCATGCAAACTATTGGAGTTCTAAGGGCATCATGCGTGCTATATATTGTTTGGCATACATGGACTGCTGAACCCTGCTTTTATATTCTGAATAAAAGAACACCCATTGAAAAGACGTACTTTGAGTAATATCATAAGAATAGTAAGTAACTTAAGGTCTCCAGTTTGTCTAGGATTTATAAAAGCTGTCCTGGATACAGTGTAACAAGAACCTTACCATGTTGATATCATGTTCAAGTTCATGACCATGAAACTTGTGTTTCAGCTTCTAAAACTTTTAATTGGTGCGGTTTCTGTACTTTCTCTTCTAATGAGTTTGCTTTGTAGATGACAAAACTGGCAATCATCCCCTGTACAGTTCTTTTGGAGACTATTTTCTTCACAAAGAAATTCAGGTGAAGTCTTTATTTCAATATTTCCACAACCGGGTCAAATCGTGCTTTCTGGTCCTAAGAAAAATTCTCAATTTTATGCACGTGAAGCAATATCCACCCACAACTCTAGGGGCAGTTTTGTTTTTGTTCGTTGAAGCATGATTAACTCAAATTAGGTTTCACTGATATGTAAAGGGCTGTATGNCACAACTCTAGGGGCAGTTTCGTTTTTGTTCGTTGAAGCATGATTAACTCAAATTAGGTTTCACTGATATGTAAAGGGCTGTATGTATACAAGTTCATCAAATAAATTAACATTACAAAGTCTATCTTTTAATCCCTTTCATTGGATAAGTTGGTACTTTCTTGCTTTGATTACTGGGGACAAAAGACCAAGGACATTAATTTGAATTGCTAGGAGAAACCTATATAATGATTTAGAGAACATCTGCATTCGGTTTAAGGTTCTTCGTTTTTATCTTCTTTAGTGATGTCCCACATAACTTAGATTAGATTACTTACCAACAAGGAGCACATGGGGTAAGGGAGATGAAGGTGATTGGCAATCAAGCTTCAATTGTCATCTCCTTGCTGCAAGCAATCTATTTACGGGCAATGAAGCAGACACATGGGCATGGAAGAGCATTTATATGCCATTGCAATAAATCGTGAAAAGGTAGAAAATATGCATGGCAAAGACGCTCACAACAAAGAAATACAGTTACATTTATACCATATATTGGTGAGGACAGGGCAACGTAAAAATATATGAAATACCACTAATGTTACTTTTATTAAAACAAAAAATAGCTTTATGGTAGGCAAACTAAAATTGTAGCTTAAAAATTTTAAAATTTCTACCAAGGTAGCTGGAAGTTCCAATCAATAACAATTATAATGAACTTCTGATTTAATTTTTTCTTGACTGCTATGGTTGTATTAATTAAGAAAAAAGGTATACCCGTTGTCCAAGATCATTTGTCATGTATTGGCGAAAGTTCAAGAATCTTAGGCCTTGTTCTTACACGTCACTGGGAGTATTTGAGAAGTGTCAATGTCCAATACAAACTCTGCCATTTCAATAATCTGTCCTTCTCAGATGTTGACATTGTAGCGGCTGATAAGTGATAACTTAGATTGTTTGTGCCTTTTAGAAAGTCACTTTTGCGTTTTATGCTCATAGGTATTTTGTAATATATGTTTATTTTATGTGCAAATGCAAATGCAAATATTAATGTATTTGTGTCTTTACTTATATATTGTTTTCAGCTTTGTGTAATAATACTACCTTGATCGTCATTTTGCAGTAGGAATGTCCAGCTTTCGCTTGGCATTCTTCTTTTGGGTGTTGGAATTGCAACCGTAACTGATCTGCAGCTCAATGTCCTTGGCTCTGTATTATCTCTGCTTGCGGTTGTCACAACCTGTGTCGCCCAGATTGTATCCTTGGCTGTGGTGGCCTTTGTTTTTATATCACGTATTTCTTTCTTCTTTCACATGCTTGAATTTTAATATAAAGCCGGTAAAATGACAAGGTTTGAGCTGAAAAGAAAGCTTGCCATTCACTTTTGCTCTCAGATATTCATGCAGTGGTACTTAGGTGAGGATGTTTTACAGCTATTGTTGTTCAAGACCTTAATCAGTTGCCCTCAGATGACCAATACCATCCAGAAAAAGTTCAAAGTATCTTCGACCCAACTCCTGTATCAATCTAGCCCCTATCAGGCAATGACTCTGTTCTTCACTGGCCCATTTCTAGACTGGCTTTTGACGAATCAGAATGTTTTTGCTTTCAAATATACCCCTCAAGTGCTGGTGAGAATCAAATCCTTTTCCCCTCGCTCTGAAATATTGCATAAACCATTAAATACACTGTCGTCTTGATTGCAGGCATTCATTGTTCTATCCTGCCTAATTTCAGTCTCTGTAAACTTCAGTACCTTCTTAGTAATTGGAAAGACATCTCCAGTCACCTATCAAGTCCTAGGACATCTGAAAACATGCCTAGTTTTGGGCTTTGGCTATGTGCTACTCCATGACCCATTTAGCTGGCGAAACATTTTAGGGATCTTGGTTGCTGTGGTTGGCATGATACTTTATTCTTATTGTTGCACTCTTGAGAGCCAGCAAAAGGCAATTGAAGCATTACCACAGTTGTCCCAGGTACTTTTGCATTCTTCTCTTTTCTCCTTTTCCATGTTTGCAATTTCTTTTTCCTAGTATAATCATCAGAGGGAAGTGGAATAAAAGGAGGATTGTTTCCTTGCCCATCCTCTCTCTCTCTCTCTCTCTCTCAATTTAAGTATGTGCTCATCTAGTCTTCACTGCCATGATCCTCTTGAAGCTTTGATTAATTCTGCATAAAAATTGATTTACTAATCCTTTTTTCTTTTTTAAAATGTTCTAGGCAAAGGAAAGTGAATCTGATCCCCTCATAAGTGTCGAAAATGGATCTGGAATCTTAAATGACAGTGTTACAAAAGCCCCTGCGTGGAATTCAAACAAGGACCTTCAAGCATAAAGCTGCCTCACTCATTATCAATCTGTTCACTGTGTTTTAGAATCGACAGAAAAATCGTTCGACCAATGAAGGTGTCACTGCAGGGGTTTCCACGTGCTGCAGAACATAGGTTTTTATAACCTTTATGGTAGTAGCTATCAAAACTGAAGAAAATATTTTTTGATATAGCAGTTTTGATTATTAGTTTTGTACGGGTTAGTGTGCCAATAGAATGCATATTGCCAATGGGGTATTGTTATATTCCCAGATACTGAAAGAGAATGTCCTCTGTTAAGAGTCACTCTGTTTCCTTGACAAACATTAAAACGTGGCCTTGAAAATGAAAATCAAATTATATGCATATGCCCGAAATGGTTACTGGTTTCCGTCCGATAAATGCCAGTGTTTGTGAACTTGTAGCCCTGGATCCCTTTCTATTGCTCAAACAGGCACCAGCAGTCTTATAGTAGCAGCAAACAGGTGTGTGTGAATTTCAGGTCATGTTAGTGGTTCAAATGAGCCGAGCTGGGTAGTACGTTTTGCAAACCCACCCCCTTGTTGTGGACGAGTCCACCTGACCCCTGTGAGCCTTGGTTTCTTCTAGAGGAACACAGTTTTTAAAATTATACATTGCAAAAAATTATACTTTACCTCTTTCACTATTTGATCTTTCTTTGTCCTTAATGTTCCGTTTGGTAGGGAGGATGGAAAGTAGGAAGAATAAAAAGTAGGAGGGATACACTTTCTATCCTTCAAGGATGGAAAGTAGGAAGGATATATTTTNGTTTTGTACGGGTTAGTGTGCCAATAGAATGCATATTGCCAATGGGGTATTGTTATATTCCCAGATACTGAAAGAGAATGTCCTCTGTTAAGAGTCACTCTGTTTCCTTGACAAACATTAAAACGTGGCCTTGAAAATGAAAATCAAATTATATGCATATGCCCGAAATGGTTACTGGTTTCCGTCCGATAAATGCCAGTGTTTGTGAACTTGTAGCCCTGGATCCCTTTCTATTGCTCAAACAGGCACCAGCAGTCTTATAGTAGCAGCAAACAGGTGTGTGTGAATTTCAGGTCATGTTAGTGGTTCAAATGAGCCGAGCTGGGTAGTACGTTTTGCAAACCCACCCCCTTGTTGTGGACGAGTCCACCTGACCCCTGTGAGCCTTGGTTTCTTCTAGAGGAACACAGTTTTTAAAATTATACATTGCAAAAAATTATACTTTACCTCTTTCACTATTTGATCTTTCTTTGTCCTTAATGCTCCGTTTGGTAGGGAGGATGGAAAGTAGAAAGGATAAAAAGTAAGAGGGATACACTTTCTATCCTTCAAGGATGGAAAGTAGGAAAGATATATTTTTTTTCTTTTGTATTTGGTTGGATGGATGGAAAATAAAAATGTTTATTTTTTTTTTTTTTGTGTTGGCTAAGATTAGAGGTGACAATCGAGTCAAGCCGTGTCGTGTCAGATTTTTATTGAGTCATTAAAAGTTTGTGTCGAATATTATTCAAATATAACTTAACTCATTTAATTAATTGTGTCGTGTCGAGTTGCGAGTTGACCTGTTTATTTTTGTATCGAGTTCGAGTCGTGTCATCGTGTTGAATCGAAAATTTTCACCCTTAGTTAAGATGGAAAAAATAAATTTTTTAATTTAAATTTTTTTTATTTTTATTTTTTATTTTTTTAAAAATAGATATACATATTTTATCATTATATTTTTATATGAAATTAATGTATACATTAGATATATAAACAAATAAGATACATCTTAACACAAATAATTAGCTTTACATCCACTTTCCTTCCAATTTTGGAGGAATTGATTTTGGTGAGTTAGAGGAAAAGTTAATCCATCCACTTTTCCATCATTCCTACTTTCCTTTCTTACAAAACATGATATTTTATTTATCCTTCCAATTTTTCATACTCCAAACTTTTCATCCTCTCATTTTTCCATCGTACTAAACGGAGCATAAAACTATTTTATTTTTTTATAGGGTTAATTGATTTTTACCAACATGTGGTTTCGGCTAGAAACATTTTACCTACTTGACATTTAAAATTATACACATTATCTCGTAATTATGTATCAAAGTAAAATTTTTACTTTTATCATCTAAATTAATGGAGAGTGTATTTCACAAGGTCAAAACATGTTGTGGGCTTTCTTTTCATTGTTTTTCTCTAAAAGAATATTGTCAAAGTGCATAAAATATCATTTATAAAATATGGTATAATATTCAAATAGGTAAGACATTTGTCCCAGATTAAAAAACATGCAAGAAAAATATAAGTGATTTTTGACTCTGGAAAAAAATCTCACTTGAAGGAAAAAAAGACTTGAAATATTTGATTGAAATTTGTTAGTTTATTATCATATTCCATTAGTTTTATGGTTAAGAGTAAATCAAACAAAAAGTTTTGACTTTAAAGTGTGGGTATTATTTTAACCTTTTAACTCCATTAACGGGTCAGTTACTTCACTCATATATAACTAGAGAGGGGTAATATGCATTATTTTAAATGCCAAGTAGATAAGTTGTTTTTAGCCGAAACTACAGGATGGTGAAAAGCAATTAACCTTTTTTTATATTACCCTTCAATTATGATTATTTATTTTACATTGTTCCAAAAAAAAATTACTATATTTTTGACTAAAAGTATTGTAACGCCCCAAAAATCGGGAGTCATTTGTCAACCCGTTAATCACCCATCAACCCGCAAAAATACCTGTGAATGCTGCATAACCCTACACCACGACACAACAATAAAAAATTTGGGTAGAGTTTCCCTTGTATCGGAAACTCCCAAATGCATAACATGTGTACGTTTCAATTATATGACCCATCTAAGGCCTAAGGTACCACAATATACACTCCGTCATTGTCCATTTACATCATTTATATAAAAGGACTCAAAACTCAAAAGCATGACAAAAACATTTCAAAAATTTCAGATTTTAGGAAAACTTACCGGAAGGTTTTGCCTTCAGGAAAATTTCTTCCAGAAGACCTTCCGAAAGGTTTTGCCAACTGGAAAACTTCTTCCGAAAGGTTTTGTCCACTAAAAAATTTCTTCCAAAAGGTTTTGTCTGTTTTCCTACGATTCCGTCCTTTTTCAATTCCAATCTATTCCATATCATCACAACACATGTAAAATGAAGTTTTATACATTATACATGGTACATACAGATTCTATTACAATCATTCCATATAAATATGCCAAAACTAAGTTTTTAACAAAAGTTTTACAATATCGCAAAAGAAAGCCACATTTCAACTTTTTGTCAACCTTGAGGCTCGAGATATGAGTCATCCACCAGTGTGAATCCCGCACCTGAAATATTTTTCCATAAAGGGTGAGCCACGCTCAATAGGATATCTCCTAAAGAGGCCACTCCCCAAACTAAATGCATATGAAATATTCACATTCAACAATCAATCATCCACAACAATTCCAATCAAGAATATGCAAATAAATGTTGAAATTTGTTATGTCATGCCATGAAATAAGATAAGATTCATTCATGCAACTCAACCTGAGCCCTCACCGGTTCCCATCACCCATGCAATGCCATTAGTATAAAATTGGGCATTCCAAGCCATTGTCATTGATGTTTCACATCCAATGACCTTTTTATAAAACAAAATCATGTGTTTATGTTGGGTAGTGAAGTTTTGGTGTCTTATCTCCAGTTCTGCACACTAATACACTCTTTTTGGACTTGCACCGACGGAAGTGTATAAACCAATAATCGGGTCTTGCACCCGAGGGAGAGTCTAGCCTTGCTTGCTATACCCGACACAAGTTTCTTTTTCATGCAACCCACGCGACTCTGTTGGACCTTGGTCTAATTATACCGAGTCAACTTGTCAGCCACCAGGGATGGTGATTGACCCAACACACATGCACACACACCCACACTCATGCCCATGAATATGATGCCTCCGTGTATATGCAATGTAATAAGCAATTGCAATAGTAATGTCATATCACATATGTAATGAATGTCATATGGACTAATTTAGCCACAATTCAACATTTTCATGGCAAGTTATATCCAAAACATATAACTTCCATAAAGTCATCACAAATGCCAATATATCATAAACATATACCAATATTCACATTTAACAACAATTCTTCTCAAACATGTCATACATAATCTATGCCAATAACACACTTAACTCAATAGGCACAATATAAACACATAACATGCCCACATAACATCATTTTTCAAGAAATTACAAGCTAGCAATTTCTAATTATCAATTCATACGAGAATTGATTTCTATCCATTTCATCTAATTAATCACAATAGGCGGGTGTTAAAATTGTCTAATGACCTACCCATTCCATATCACACTCTTTGGTTGAAAATAAATCCAGTTAGGATGAAATCCTAACTCTTGGAACGTAAAAAAATTGAAGTCGAAAGCCTTCAAGAACTCCCAAGAAGCCTTAACCTTGAATTCCCCCCCAAAATTACTTTTGGATGTTTGGTGAAATCCTTCCTTATTGGCACATAGGTGTAGCCCTCGACGAGGATATTAACTTTAACTCTTGGCTTGAGTCGATTAGAGCGACGTAGAGGCGTAGATCGTAGAGAGAAGGTAAAATTTCTCTCTCCTCTTTTCTCATGTGAAGAAGGCTGAACAATGGGGAGAAAATTTGATTTTCTTCCCTATTTATACACTTTAAGTGCTTGGTTCACAAAGAGCCACACATTCCCTTATTTCTGAGTCCGTTTTTATCCCGAAACGATTAAATTTCGTCCTGATTTATGTTTAAAATATTTTTATATGAACTTTCTTTGAAATATTATAAAATTTTCAAAATTTTATTTCCGGGGTCGTTTTTTGGGGTCACCCACCCAATACACCAATGGCTTAAAAAAGCGTGAAAAATTTGACTATCTCAAAATTCGATGAAAATTGATATGGTAGTTAGATTTCGCGAGGCGAATCCAACGGTGAGATCCATTTACTCATCCGATTTTTAGAAAAATTCATATTTTCAACCCGTACTGAAAATGACAAATTACCATTTTGCCATTTTTCATAAAAAGTTCAAGTTTTCCCAAGTTTTACAAGTATACGTGTAGCGAGACAATGTAAAACAAAAATGTGGATCGAAGAGCATAAAATAATATTTTGTCAAATTTATAATAAACATTAATTATTTGAATAACATGAAACTAATTACTAAAAATAATTTTTACATTACCCTTCAATTATGATTATTTATTTTACATTTGTTCAAAAAAAATTACTATATTTTGACTAAAAGTATACGTGTGTAACGAGACATGTGAAACAAAATGTGGATTGAAGAGCTTAAAATAATATTTTGTCAAATTTATAATAAACA